AGATATAAGGGAAATATTTCATGAAATGTCTGAAAGAAGTCATAGACTTTGCTGTTGCTAAAACAAAACACCTTATGCTGAGAAATGTACTATGAGATTCATTTTTCATTCTCTAGGAGCTCCAAGAGCAATGTGCTGGTCTACTTAGGTTTTGTGAGGGCCCTGTATCTACCACACATGTCAGATGGCATCCTAAGGGAGTGTATTGAAGAGCAAGAGATCACATGGTGAGACAGGAAGCCAGAGAAATCCAGGTGTCTAGCTCACTGTTTTAAGAATAATCTGCTCTAACAGGAATTAATGTGGGTCCTTCAACACCTACATCAGTCCTTTCTGAATGTGGTGCCCCCAGTGACCTAATTACCTTCCACCAAGTTTCACCACCTCAATACTACAACACTGGAGCCAAGCTTCTAGCTCATAAACCAATATCAAACCATATCCAAACCATCACACATGAAAAGAAGTGGGTTTGCTTAGAAGGAAAATCAGTGTGAACTCCTGCTAAAGTACTCTCTCCTGAAATATGCAAAAAGGATGCTATTTGACTAGATATAATCTCACTATAGCCAACTCAAATACATTTGTTAACCTCTTATCTGCCCTTCTCTTAACTATTCAACTTCATTCAAAATAAATGAGCATTTTTTTTTTTTTGAAGCGGAAAAGTTTCTGTTCTCATATATTACTGACTCTTCTGGAGCCTTCTCTTCTTCTTTTTTAAAATGATTTATAACAGGGTCTACAGGATCTTACTACACAGATCAGACTCATAGTGATCCTCCTGTTTTCAGCTTCCCAGGCACTGGGATTTTAAGCACATGCCACCATGCCCAGTTTCAGTTACCATCTCAGCATGTCCTGGGGGTGGGGCCAGCATGACATGCCAGGGATCAGACCTGGTTCCTGCGTCTACCTAAGCAGGTGCTTTAATCTGCTGAGCTATCTGGCCAGTCCTTAGAGCCTTCAATTCTAACTGGTCTGTAGATGTGGTGTGCTTCTGTGCTTGGCTTTCACCTCATTATTTTCTATCTGTTCTTTCATCTAGTTTGATGACTCTAGATATACAAATGTTGTTTATTCTCAAATCTATCAATGTTCTGTGTTGAATTCCAGATGCCCACTTTACAGGTCCATTTTGATGTTCAGTAGGTATGTTCAAAGGACAGGCTTCTCTTTCTTCTCTAGTATTCCCCAACTCATAAAGGCTCCCATTGTCTCTAAAGTTCCTCACTTAAAAGCATAGAAATCACCCTTAATTCTTCCTTTTCCTTCATTTTTGCATCCTACTCATCAACAAATTCTCCAGGATATGGCTAAAAATGTACTTCCAATGCACCACTCTTCTCCATCTCCAAGCAAACATCCCTGACTTAGTTTTTCCAAGTTTCTCAAGTGATTCTTTGCTGTCATTCTTGAAACTTACTCTTCACCTAGCATATAAAGAAATCCTTTTGAAAAATATAATCATTTCAATGATTCTTTTAGAATTAAAGTAAAAATCTGTGATTATGTTCTAAAAGTAACTTTATGATCTGGCTAATGTGCCTTTCTTTCTAATTTCATTTTTTAAAAAATCATTTATTCATTCATTTGGTACAGGGTCTTGCTATGCAGCTTTGACTTGTAGTGATTTTCCTGTCTCAGGCTCCCCAGTTCTGGGATTACAGGTGTATGCTACCATGTCCAGTTTCATAGGCCAGTATCATGGTACTACCTGGGATTGAACCCAGGTCCTTTTATTTGCCTGGCAGGCATTTTTACCACTGAACTATTTCTCCAGTTCTCTCATTTCATATTGCACTGTTATTTCTTTACTTACTCAATAATTATTTATTGAGTACTTGCAATGCATCAGAAATTGAGCACGGAAGTGCTAGGTGTGGTAGTGCAAACCTGTAATCCCAGACCTTGAGAAGTTTAGGCATGAGGATCACCATGAGTTCAAGGCCAGTGTGAACTACACAGCAAGAACCTATTCAACAAAAGAAAACAAACAGACAAACAAAAAGAAAACAAACAAGTCCCCCAGAAAAAGAAAAAGAAAAGAAGAAAAAGAGGAGGAGGAAGAAGAAGAAATTGAGATAGTCACTAATACCATCCCACAATCAACAAGCATCTTTGTGGTTCCTCGGATACTCTAAACCAGTGGTGGTGCATGTATGGCATGCACGCCACAGAAGGCTGTTTGCTATTACAGAAGGTTTTTTTGCTATCACTCTAAAAGGTTTATCATCATTGCTCTAAACTCTTCGGCCTTGGAGCTTTTTCATCTTCCCTTTTTCCCTGGTTCAGGATACACCTTTCTTTTCTTGTTCTTCAGATTTCAGTGTAGATGTCATTTCCTCAGAGGCTTTTCTTGATAACATAATTTAAAATATCCATTGCCTTCTTTTCTGTTACATTATCCTACGTGAAAGTCTTAGCACTTTTCACAATCTTTTGTGCTTATGCATTTTACCATTTCCTTCCTTATCCCATTGTAATGTAAATTCCTTGAGGATAGAGACCTATTCATTATATAGTTAAGACCAGTGTCTAGGATGTTTCCCCAAGGACCTAGAAGAGTGTTCAACACACAGAATATATTGAATATTTTAATTGATTAACTTGATGAAGAGGTTCAAGGAAAGCAGGAAGGGCTGGGGATATTGCACAGTGGCACAGTGCCTGCCTGGAAGGCTTGAGGCCCTGAATTTGATTCCTGGTACCAATCCCTCTCCCCCACCCCCACCCCCCAAAAAAAGTGACAAGATGTGACATTGAATTCAGTCTTTACAATGAAATTTTGGTTATTGAAATGTTGATTCTTAGAACATAGTTACACATTTATTATGGCTATGAATTATTAACATGGTTTAAGAGTAATCCTTATAGGCTGTTTGCCTATAAGAACATGCAGGAAAACTTCCCTTAGGGTCATTTGGAGGCTAGCAGTTGTGTCCAGTTATGACACTACCCTTCCTTGTTCAGAGTTAAAAGCATGACAGAGTAAGACTCTTAAACCCAATGACAATGACTGAAATGAATCTTGATAATTTTGATAATTAACAACTAAGCAGATACTGTACCCTACACTTCAGATTTATGCTGCCAACTTCGGAGACTATAATTTTCCATCATTCTCTCCCAAGAAAAGGAAACCTTCTTGCTTGGCCAGTCTGTTCCCCTTTCTTATGAAGGTGAATGTAGAATATTGCACACCACATATCCTCGGTCTCTGCTATAATCTATACTCCAGACATGTACTCTGCTAAGACCTATACTCTAGGCTCTGTCACTTTGATTAGAATAACCATATAACTAATATATGGTATAAAACTATTCATTCAATCATAAAATCATATTATTGACATAAATACTGCAGCATCATAGAAAGACACAAAAGATTCTGATAATGAATTCAAAATGCCTAATAAATATAGATCACTTTAAAATTAAAAAATATTTTTGCCTTTTGAGACAGCATGTCACTATGAAGTTCAGGCTGGCCTTGAACTCACATTGTAGCCCAGGCTGATATCAAACTCATAGCGTTCCTCCTCCTCCTAAGTACTGGGATTGCAAGTATGGGCCATCATGCCTGGCTAAAATATTTTTGAATTTAGAATTTATCCCATGAAATCCTTCTATCTTTCATGCTATAAGTTAAAACAATTAGGGCTGCCAAATAGCTCAGCGGATAAAAGTGCCTGCAAGCAAGTGCAGGGGCTGGGGTTCTATCCAGGGCCTACCATGCGGCCCCACCCCTAGGGCGAGCTGAGACAGCAGTTGAGACTGGGCATGGTGGTGTGTTCCTGTAATCCCAGCTCTTGGGAGATTGTAAACAGGAGAATCACTATGAGTCCGATCTAGTAGTGAGACCCTGAGCACCCTGTAGACCCTTCCCTAAAAATACAAAAAAGAGAAAGAAAGAAAGAAAACAACTAATTGAATTGTGCTTCCCTGTGGTCTTTTTATTTTAAACATGTACCTCAATTGTTCAATAGAGATATTCGTTTTTACATACCTATATATCTATATCCATATCTACAGCTATATACATATCTATCTTATAGCAATTAGGGAATGAAACAGTAATAGGTAAAAATTGGGAACTAACGCTATGGTAACATTTTTAAGGTCTGCAGAATGCTTTTTAGAAGTAATTTTGAAAATGTGGGCTCAGTGTATGGGAGAAGAAGCCCATTCTTTCTCCAAAGATCTCTATATCATTAAATTATACCTATTACCAAACAAGAAACTTCAAGGTCTTAACAAGGGCTCAGCTCATGAATACCTGTCTCCAAGAAGCTTTTCATAATCTCAAGCTGTCATGTTAGGGGTATCATACTTATGAAAACAGAATCACTTTGTAGTTGCTCAGAATCATGTTTCTTATACACACTAAGTTTCTTTTTTTTCTCTCTTTCTTTCTGGTTTTTTGTTTTGTTTTGTTTTTTGTTTTTTTTTTTTTTGTTTTTTTTTGGTGGAACTGGGGATTGAACTGAGGCCCTTGCGCTTGCCAGGAAAGCACTTATTCCACTGAGCCATCTTCCCAGCCCCACTAAGTTTCTTTAGGCCTGGAATGGGATCCTTCCTTCCTCTGAGGTATAGTGTTTGATCAATATGTAGGAGCCAAATACATATTTTAATAAATGAGTGATTGATGACTGTGACATGATATGATATAACATGGCATGAATAAAGCTAGTACAAATTAGAATAAATCCAATACCAAGTGTACTTCAAGTAGACGTGCCCAAGACATAGTTCACATATAGTCACAGTTGAGAAATCTGAGTTAAAGGGGAAGAAATCTATTTCTAGAAGGAAATATTTGATGGACAATTAATGCATGAAAGGAAAATCATTCAGGTCCTTCTCAGAGAAACTTTCATTCTGTTGGTAAAAGATGGGAGCACTGAGGTATGTATGGTAAGAAGACACAATTATATGAATAAATGTACTCATAAGTAGAGATTTATGATAATTTTAGAACCAATCCAAGATAGTTTTTAAAAGTAATACATTTCATAGATATTTTAAAATATTTCAATAATAATTTCATGTAAATGTTTTTGAATTAAATTTTCTTTACACCTACCTTCACATATAGAAGTTGATTGTCAACTGCAATAAGGTGATTAAGATTCTCTAGCATTTCTAAATCTCTTATGTCATCAATATTATTGTTGCTGATATTCAATATAGAGAGGGATTTCTGTAAGAAAAGTAAATTAGCATTTAGCATTAGTGAGTATATATATATATATATATATATATATATATATATATTCCTAATCTTTGAAAAATGTAAGATTTATCAGTTTAGGTTGCTCTTTAGATAAGAAAATTTAAAAATGGAAAATTTGTTTCAATACTGTAATGGTTTATATCTACATGTCCCCTCAAAGCCTCATGCATTCGTAAGTGATTAGTCCACTGATAAGTTTAATAGTTAAATGTGATTTTGGGCGCTAAATTCTGGTTGGAGGAGATGGGCCATGGGGGGTGTGGCCTGGAAGGATACATCGTCCTCCTTCCTCTCCTGATCTCTCCCTACTTCTTCCTGCTGTGCTATGAGTAATTCTCTCTCTTATGCCCCTTTGCAGTGCTGTACAATGGAATGAAAGCCATTCCATAGCCAGCCAGCTATGGAGTGAAACCTCTACAACTGCGAGCCAAAATAAACTTTTTCTTCCTTAAATTGTGGGTGTTGGGCATTGTGCCTGAGCCATTAGAAAGGAGAACATATATGATATTTTTTCATTAACTTTTTTTTTTGGAGGGAATCGAACTCAGGACCTTGCACTTACCAAGCAGGCACTTACGCCATTGAACTCTCTCTCTGGCTGCTATATTCTTTCAGATGGAACTTTTAAAACTCTAGAATATGATATAACTCTCTCTTTTTGTTTATATTTCCTCCATAAATTCCATTTTCCTTGTCCAAGGTATAAGATAAATATATAAAGAAGCTAACAATCAAAAGTTAAAGAAAAAAATTCCCTAGTAAACAAATGATATAGCACAATATAGAAAAAACTGCTTACTGCAATTCAAGCAAATTACCATTTTATGGTAAATGCTGCTATGATTCTACATACATTGGAAAAACAATCTTTTTTTTCTAAAAAGGGAACATGAAAGTATGAACGAATATTTACATTTTGTCTTTATCTTTATTTGTCTATATAATATTTTCATGAAAATCCATGTATTCAGAAACCACTTGAAATAATAATTAGCTATTTGACAAGGTCTAACGTTCATTCATGATAGAAATCCTACAAAAAATCAGAATAGATGGGTCTTTACCTCAACCTGATAAAAGCCATCTATGACAAATCAACAGCCAACATCATACTAAATAGACAAAAATTGAAAGCCTTCACTTTTAAATCAGGAACAAGACAAGGATGCCTGATGTCACCACTCATGCTCAATATAGTTTTGGAAATAGCCAGAGCAATTGGACCAGAGAAAGAAATAAGAAGAATAATGATTGGAAAGAAATAAGTGAAATTATCATTTGAAGATGACATGATACTGTACATAGAAAACCCCAAAAACTCCACTAAAAAACTTATAGATTTAATAACCAAATTCAGGGCTGGGAGATGGCTCAGTAGAATAAGTGCTTGCCTGGCAAGCACAATGGCCCAAGTTCAATCCCCGGTTCCACAAAAAAAAAAAAAAAAAAAAAAAAAATTCAGTAGCATAGCAGGATACAAAGTCAACACGCAAAACTCAATAGTATTTCTATATACAAACAGTGAATGCACCGAGAGAAATTATGTAAAGCATACCTTTCACAATAATAACCCCCTCAAAATGAAATAATTAGGAATCAATTTCCCAAAGAAGTAAAAGCTATCCAGTAAAAATTATAGTACTCTTGGGCTGGTGAGATGGCTCAGTGGTCTGGAGCACCTACTTAGAACAAGCTAAGCTAAGCAAAACACAGGGACCGCGGGACCGCGGTTCAATCCCCAGCACCACATGCCAGCCAGGCCCGCCCCCTGGTGGGCTGAGCTGGCCACACACACACTAAATAAACAAATAAATAAATATTTAAAAAAAAATTATAGTACTCTGAAAAAAGAGATCAGGGTCTCACTACTAGATTGGACTCATAGTGATCTGCCTGTTAACAGTCTCCCAAGAGCTGGGATTACAGGCCAGAGGCACCATGCTTAGTCTCAATTGCCACCTCAGCATGGCCCGGGGGCAGGGCCCTCATGGCAGGCCCCCTGATGGAATTCCTGGCCCCTGTGCCTGCTTGTAGGCACTTTAATCCGCTGTAACTTTTGACCGGCCCCAGAAACAACATTGTAAAAACAGCCATACTCCCAAAATTGTTATGCAGATCCAATATAATACCAATTAAAATACCATTAGTATACCTTACCGACCTAGAAAAAACATTCCTAAAATTCATCTGGAACCAAAAGCGAGCTAGAATAGGAAAAGCAATCCTGGGGAACAAAGGAAAGGCAGTAGGCATCACAATCCTTGACCTGAAATCTACTACAAAGCTACTGTGATAAAATCAACATGATACTGGAAAAAACAAAACAAAACAAAACCAGACCTGAGGATCAATAGAACAGATTAGAAGATGCAGAAACAACTACACACTCAACCACCTTACCTTGACAAAGGGGCAAAGATGTTCACTGGAAAAAGATAGCTTCTTTAATAAAGGGTGCTGGAAAAACTAGTTTTCCACATGCCGAAGGCAAAAAATAGACCCATGCCTATCACCATGCACAAAACTACAGTCTAAATGAATCAAAGATTTAAATATTAAAAGAATTACTTTTTTCTTACAAATTTGGTTCAAAAACCATTTACTGCTCACCATTTCTGAGCCCTCTAAAACAAAATTGATGAAATCTGTATAACAACCATGTTCCATGCTACCTCAAACCTGTCCCCTTCCCCTGTTTGAGGATTAGCCAGAGCCTCCGTGGAGCCATTTGGCCTAACTCACTGTGGCACCTCCTGCTGTGTGATTGGTGGTGAAGCAATTTAACCAGAGCCTCAATCCTGGCAATACCTAGTAGCCTATGTGGTTCTAATGAAGCAAAGCTGAATACAATGCAGTGTATATGCAAATCAGGGCTGAGGAGGGGAACAACTTATTGTAGTGGCCTGCAGGCTGTTTAAAAGATACCAAATAATTATACACTCCTTCCTTAGACTTTTTCTTAATAAAATTTGAGCCATGATGATAACCAAGTCTCAAATTATGAATTAATAACTACAGTAGAGCTTCAGTTTACATAACCATTCCACATCCCTTTTGATCCTCTGATTATTCCAAGAGGTGAACATCGCTATTCTAATTTATACTACTGTCATATTCTGAGACTTTATGGAGGACAGTCAGCTTTAGTCCTCAGATAAGCTCTTAACTGGCCATATAAGCAGGCAGAGTATGCATTGTGTCTAAATACATTTTCACCACCTTTCTGTTCCTTTAGAATTTGTTCATCACTGTATTTTTTCAAAATATTCAAATGTGATCTTACTGCCAGAGATCGAAGAGTTCTTGGATCAAACAGAAGCTTTTCTCCCAGAGGAAGCTTCTGACTCTCAACATGAAGCTCTCTTAGCTCTTCTAATCCTTCCAAACCTTCTATGACAGCAATGTAATTGCCTCCCAAATACCTGAAAACACAGACATAATTCTAAATAGACTTCCTAGAATGGCACGGAATGAGAACATAAAAACGAAATTACTGAGCCGTGTGATAAGTATACATGTAGAATATTGAATTTATATTTGAAACTATGAAAGGTTTAGCTGAATGATAACAAATTTGCCTAAACAATTTAGTCTTAAAAGCAATTTATTTTTTTAAAGTGAGAGAACTGTTAGTCCTTACTGAACTACCTGCAAGTGCTTCTCATATGTTTGGGGTACAGAAGAATCGCCTAACTGTAGGTTTACAAACCAATATTTCTGAGCCTAACTCCTGAAGATTCTGATTTGGATAGCTACATTGGAACCCAGTAATTTTCCCTTTTAGTAAGTATTTTTCACTCCATTCTGAGGCCCTTGGCCCACTTTTTAAGAAGCATAGTATGTACTCCACACTGAAAAACTTTTATTTACAGTCTTCATTACAATATATAATTATTTTAGGGTAAAATGCCTTTTTTACAATCAAATCTGCATCAAAATTATTCATTCTATGACCTGAACCTTTTGAGATGTGTTATTCTGAAAGGCACAGAAATTTTCTGGGTTCCATGGAAACTTCAACAGATAAGCCTACATGAAGATGTCGTAGGTGTCCTGATAAGCCCATAAGACGATTTATTTCACCAAAAGAAGAGTTCCTCGCTTAATAAAGCATAAATTATTGAGTATTATATATGAAGAAATTTATTCCATATGAAATAAATGTAAGAAAATGAAAATTGAGTCCTGTTCTGCAGGACATATCTGAAGTTCAGACTCAATTACATATTCAACCTATTGCTAAAAATGGGAATACCTGCCTGCATAAAAACATGATGACAAGCGGTTGACATTATTCAAAGATAAAAACACTTACAGTTTTTCCAGTTTCTTTAATGATCTGAGGTTCTCTATACATGGAATACAATTGTTTTGTAGGTACAGATGGGTCAGATTTGTGGCATAATTAAGGTTATTGACTTGACTAATACGATTATCATACAAATACAATACACTGAGATTTTTGCAAAGAGAGAGGTCTTCCTAAAAGGAAAAACAAACAAACAAAAAACAGGTTATATTCCTCTGGGAAACTTAGAAATTTCTTTGAAAAAAGTTTTCCAGTTGAGCACTCTACAAATTTTCTTTTCTTTTTTATTTTTATGTATTTAGTACAGGATCTACAGGGTCTCACTACACAGATCGGACTTGTAGTGAACCTCCCTGTTTTTCAGCCTCCAAAATTCTGGGATTACAGGAGCACACCACTACGCCCAGTCTCATTCGCCATCTCAATGCACCCCAGGAGCCGGGCCCACATGGCAGGCCAGGGATCAAACCCTTGGCCCCTGCATCTGTCTAAGTGGGCACTTTAATCTGCTGAGCTATATCTGGCCTGCTCTTATAATTTTTCTTAAGCTTGATATAAAAGAAAGCATAACCATATTTATATAATATAAAAAGTATTTGGCAGGATAGATCAAGAAACAAAATCCAATGGTATGGTGCACACAAGGAACAAATTTGGCCAGATTTTATGATACATGCTTGTAATCCCAGCCAAACACACAAAAAGACTTATAACTAGAAGAATGAAATTTGGTGCACAAAAATCAGAAGAGCTCCTCTACACTAATAATGGACCCACTGACTTTTGTTTTTGAGGTAAGGTAGTTTTTCTGCCAAACTGACCCCAAGGGCTGGCGAGACAGCTCAGCAGACTAAGCGCCTGCTTAGGCAAGCACAAGGACCTGGGATTGATGCCCGCAGATCACCATGGACCACCAGAAATCAGAGCCTGAGATTCTGGGAATGACCCTGATCAGTGCTCATTGACATAATGAAATTGGCCTCCAAATCTTAGGTATTGGGTCAGTGTTTGTGCTTTGTGCTTGCTGTTGCAAAATGATTCTCCTGCTTCATCCTAAATAGTTGGAAACAAATGCATGAGCTACCATGCCCATATATTTGTAAAAATCATATTTTTTTATATATATATATATATATATATATATTTCTCCCCCAGAACAGGGTCTCACTATGTAGTTTAGTCTGGCCTCAAATACACAGAAATCCTCTTGCTTCAGCCTCCCAGGTGCTGGGATCACAGGTGTGCACCAACATGTCACACATAATGGTATATATAATAGATTAAAATAAAACATATGGGACCAGCAAGATAGCTGTGCACCGTGGGTGAATCCCTGAGCCCCACCAGCCACATCCCAGCATGGGCTGAGCCAGCCACCAAAAAATAAATATAAATAAATAAATAAATATAGAACATATAAAGTTGGCCAGTGGGATAGCTCATCAGTCTAAAGCACCTGCTTAGGCAAGCCTAGGGACTGTGGTTTGATCCCAGGCACCACATGCCACACCAGCCCCGCTCCCAGAGTGGGCTGAGCCAGCCATAAAGAGAAGAGAATAGAAGAGAAGGGAGGGGAGGGCAGGGGAGGGGAGGGGAGGAGAAAAAAAAGAAAAGAAAAGAAAAGAAAAGAAAAAATAAAATAAAATAAAACAAGTACAATGTATTTTGAGGGTCAGCCAAATAGCTCAGCAGATTAAAGCACCTGGAAACAGACACAGGGGCTGTGGGTTTGATCCGCAGGCCTGCTGTACTGGCCCCACCCCAGGGGCATGCTGAGACTGCAAATGAAGACTGGGTGTGGTGGTGAGCGCCTGTAATCCCAGCTCTTGGGAGTCTGTAAACAGGTGAAACACTATGAGTCTGATCTAGTAGTGAGACCCTGAACACCCTATAGACCCGTCTCTAAAATACAAAAAACAAAACAAAACAAAACAAAAAACAACATAAAAAGTTTACTAGTATAGTCAATAAGTAAAATCAAGATAGAAGTAAAGTATTAGGTATGCTGATTTATAAATTTTATATTTTTAATTATATAAAAACAGGAAATAATTTCAGAGTTCTTACAATTGCATCTATATTTTTGTCTGAAAAATTTATATGAGTTATTTTCTTCAAGCATTGTGCAATGGTTTCTTCTTTTCGGGGTTTTACATTGCTGTTTTTAGCAATTAGATCCACAGTTAGTCGAACCATTATTTCTCTATAAATCACATCACAGTAATAGCTGTGTCGATAACATGTCCAGAAGGTTTAGGTATTGTTTATTCTTATCTTTCTAAAAATTAAAGGAAAGAGATAATATTATATTAGATAGAAATTTGGGAAAGGCTGTTTTGACTTTTAAATTGCTGTTATGCTATTTGATTATCTAGTTCACTCACATTTTAATGGACATTTTGGTATTTTCTAAGTCTAGACATTTTATTTATTTATTTATTGGCAGAACCAGGGATTGAACTAAGGCCTTTGCGCTTGCCAGGGAAGCGCTTTTTCCACTGAGCCATCACTCGAGCCCTTTAAGTCTAGACATTTTAGTAAAAATATTTTAAACACCAAATCTAATTAAATGCATAATACTCAGTTCACTTTTTAACAAATTTTTTAGTCTATTTGCTTGCTTATGGTTTGCTTGTTTGCTTGTGATTGAACCTATTAGTTCACGCTGGCCTTGAACTCACTATGTAGCATAGGGTGGCCTCAAACTTCCACTGAACCTCCTGCCTCAGCCTCCCCACCTGCCAGGATGTCAGGCATGTCCTGTCACATCTGGGGCTCTGTTTTTTTTGCGTTTATTTTTTTGGGGTGGGTGGCTGTTTGTTATGAAGTTCCTCTATTGAATGGATAAAAAAGATGTGGTATTTTTATACAATGGAGTATTACTCAGCTATAAACAAAGATAGACTTGGGAGCTTTTAGATGTAAATGAATGCAACTAGAGACTGTTAAGGCACCCAGCCGTGGGCCCCCTCCCCCTGCACCAGCTCCTATGTTCCCAGATACCTCAACCACAACTGTGCTGCAAAGATTTGACCTTGACTATCTGCGCCTGACTGATTATGCATATAGCTTTGTTTCGGCTTGCTTCAAAAACTCTATACTTTGTGCCCAGCACACGCTGGCCCAGCCAGGGACACTTTATGACTCCCCTTCCCCATTCCTGCCTGCCCAGAACACCCTGGCCCAGCAAAACACACTTTGTAACTCACCTTCCCCCATTCCCACATGCTCAATGATCTATAAAGTCCCTGCCTCCCCAGCCATTGCTGCAGTTCAGGTCCACTGATCGGCCTGACTCAAGCTAGTTGCCACCAATAAACTGCTCTTTTTGTGCCAGCTAACATGAGTGTAGTCTTGTGTGGGTTCCAGAGCACCTTTTTCCCTGACAGTTTTCCTGTCAGAGACCATACTTATAAGTGAAATAAATCAGACCCATATGTGTAAACATCATATTGTCTCTCTAGTGTAAGAAACTGAAAGAGTAAACAAAATCTGAAGAGTACATTAGATATTGTGGAATAGAAATTGCTCAAAAAGAAAGAACTGGGATGAGAGAAAAAAGAAAAGAAAGAAGGTATCTATCTATCTATCTATCTATCTATCTATCTATCTATCTATTATCTAAGATAATTGTACTACTAATGTATTTTTTCTTTTTTATGTATTTGGTACAGGGTCTCACTATGCAACTTAGACTGGTGGTGATCCTCCTGTTTTCAGCCTCCGCAGCACTGGGATTACAGGTGTGCACCATCAGGCCTGGTCTCGTTGGCTGGCTCAGGGTCCCCGAGGGCAAGGTTGGTGTGGCATGTGGTGCCAGTTCCTTGGTCCCTGTGCTTGCCTAAGCAAGTGCTTAGTCCACTAAGCTATCTTGCCAGCCCTGCACAGAGGGATTTGATTCAGCAAATCTTTGGCTGCCCCTGTGTCTTTAAGAGATAACGTTGATTTATGATATTTTGGGCCCATATTTTAAAATTTACAAGTTTTTTTTGAAAATTTTTAATTATCATTTTACATGGATAACTCGAAACTTTTTACATGGATTACATGCACATTTCAATTATCTTTTTACATGGGTAATTTCACATATCATAAAGAGGTAGTTCACCTCAGTACTTCCTCCTTGCAGCTTAGGGAGACTGCTGCACAGGTGTCTGTTTGCAGGAGCATCCTGAGCTCTGAAGGAGATTATGGAGGGGGGACTTCAGCCAAGGGGACAGAGGAGTCACAAATTATTTATTCACAAATGATTTATTTCCTCCTCTCTGATAGGTTATGACCCTAGTATGAATTACTAAATTATTATGGTGGTCATCCAGTATGGCTGAAACCCTTATAACAACAGCTCATCACTCCTTAGAAAACTAGGACTGGAAATTCCATTCAAGCCTGCTATCCCCCTACTGGGAATTTTCCCAGAGGAACTGAAAGCGTCATATCATAGTGATATATGTGGGCCTATGTTTATAGCAGCACAATTTGTAATAGCCAGAACTTGGAAACAACCAAAATGCCCATCACATGTGGAATGGTTGAAAAAGATGTGGTACTTTTATATAATGGAGTACTACGCAGCTATAAAGAATGATAAACTTGAAGCCTTCATATTTAAATGGATGCCCCTTGAAGATATACTTATTAGTGAAATAAACCAGACCCACATCTGTAAATATCATATTATCTCCCTAATATAAGGACTTACAATTCCAAATATGACTAGGTTTCTAAATTTCTTTGTAAAAATATGTAAATGCTTATTTCTACTTTTATATAATTTTTCTTTCATATTCTGTAAGGACTTAAAGTTCAACATATCAATATCTGATGGAAAATACCTGTTCCAGGATATGCCAAAATGTTTGATATTTCTATAGATAGGATAAACCAAACTGCATATATTGCAGGTTAATAATTAGCTTCTCTTCTGGAGGGTTAACAACCTAAGTTAGCAGATCAAAATTTGGAGAAAAAGAAGGGCTACATGATTAGCCAACATTTTGGCCCTAGCCTTTCAAGGTCAGTGAAGACTCGGGACATAGGAGAACCTGTACTGTAACAACATGTAACTCAGCTGTGCTCCAAACTTTCTGATCAAGATGATTATGGAGCCACAGAGAAATGTGTTTGAGGATCTAAAGTGAGCCTGGGGAGAATCACATGGAGAGAAAAAACATTTTCTCAAGCTTTCACAGAGAGCAAATTGGTCAAGCAATGGCCGTGACTCATCCTCAGTTCAGACACTGACAAAAGAATATACAAAAGGTGGTACAGGGCTACAGGATAAATCCTGAGAGTACTTGGCTGACCTTATCAGATACAAAAGTTACAATTCTGGGTATATAGGTCTTGCTATATCTTGGTCTTAACCATCCAGTAGAAAAGTATAAAAATGAGGTATATAAAGTAAATCCATATTAATATGATGAGCTGTAAAAGGCTCAAGTCAATAACTTCTGAGGATAACCCACTAATATTATAGACTGCTAGACAGTATTAGATGTTTAGTTGAATTCAAATACTTATAGTATTCAGATGCCAATAGAATATTCACCTCTGACAGGACAAAAAAAAAAAAAATAAAAAAATTTTTAAAAAGAAAAAAAATGGAAATGGAAAGAAGCAGTCAATGCTCTAAATAGCTTCGTCTCCTTTTTTTCAATTGTTTGCACTTTTTCTTTTCTTAATTTCTTATACATTGCTCCAGTTTTTTCTTCTTCCAATATCTGGTAATATGAATAGCTGGTTGTAAGACAATACCATGTATTACAACAAATACTGTGAAATTCATACTACTTTGTTAAGTAAAATTCTGAATGAGTTGTCAAAAAATAAATAAATAAATAAAAAGGAAAAAAAAAAAAAAAACCAACAGCTCATCTTCCCAGAGACCACCTCCCCCCTTCTTCTCCCATTCAGCCCAGGGTGCAGTTTTCTTTCACCCTTCTCGCCACCTCAGGAAAGGCCCCAGTCCTCAGGTGTATCTAAACGTCCCCCTCAAACTCCACCCCCAGCAAAAGGCCACAAAAGCATCAGCCTCCCTTTGTTCCAATCCAGAGAATTCCTTATCTTTCCAGATTCTCTCTGTGTCCTCCAAGATAATGAAGCCTTTTTCTCTTTATAATAAAGTCCCTTTACCTTTTTCCTTCTGCCTGTCTCTCTGCTGAGACAGTCAAACCTATCACTCTCCCATGGACTTTTGGGAGACACATTGTTTTCAAAAGCTCCCCCAGAAAACATTCTAGGTGACAAATGCTCTGATACTTGCTTTGTGTCATCTTTGTCCAGTTCCTTTTCTCCTTAACTCCCATGGCAACCCAATAAAAGTGCTTTCATGGGTTTTTGCTTCAGTCTGTTAATGTGGCTAAAACAAATGTTGATTTATCTGAATCTTCATGAATTACAGTGCTCTTGCAAAGATGGAAAATTTTACCTCTATTGGGGGCCAGGGAGATGGCTCAGTAGAATAAGCACTTGCCTGCCAAGTGCAAGGGCCTGAGTTCAATTCCCGGTTCTGCCAAAAAAAAAAAAAAAAAAAAAAAAAAAAAATTTACCTCTATCCTCTTGAAGGTCTTTTTTTTTTCCTCTTGGCTGGGCCTGAGAAATTTACAGAGCAACAGGAGGAAAGTATATAGATTTATTTAATACAAATTTTATGTGGCATGAGAAATGAAGCAATAAACTGTTACAAAGGCATAGAGTTGAACATTTACAGAATTAAAGAGTAGGAAACTGTAAAAATTCAACAAAGAAAAGGGGATTGGGGTAGTGTAGTTGACTGATAAAGAAATGTCTGTGCAGATCTCCCTGGGCCTCAAATTTCTGTCCTTGATAAGAATAACTTTTAGTACAGGGACAGAATCTTTCACATGGAGTGTGATCTTTTGTTCTTAAGATTCAAACTGAAGATCAGAATGATCTTGGACCTGCCATTTTCCAAGCGCTTTTCATGAGAAACTGCCACTATGCCAGAACAGTATATATGAGGGTGCATATTCATAACTTCTTTACTATAAATAGTTTCTATAAATTGGTGTTTGTGTAGAAAAATTTTTAAGTGTTTCTGAATAGAAACATAAATGATGTATTTATTAAAGCAAGGGAGGGCCAACAAACCTAATGTAAAAAGCTATAGGAAAAACTTTTCAGGGGTTGAAATATGGAAAGAGAATTGAATTAAACCACAAGGCAAAACAGCAGAGACTGTTAACCAGATAAAACCTGTGTTACAGCCAGAAGAAATGTTTCATCAAAACAGCACCCTCCATCTTGCTAAAACAATATTAATTTAAACCTTATTGGTCTTGAATTTTCCTTTGAGAGAAATTATAAGTTTTAGGAATTTAAAATGAATTTAGAAGGGACCTGGGAGATAGCTCAGTGGAATAAATACTTCCCTGGCAAGCGCAAGGGCCTGAGTTCAATCCCTGGTTCCGCCAAAAACAAAACAAAAAAATAAAATAAAATGAATTTAGAACTGTGAATTTGGATTCATTTTAGAACACTCTAATAAAAAAGTCAATACTTGCGAAGTGGCCTGGTGTTTCTTTTTTGTTGTTTTCTAACGTTTCAGAAAGTGCTTTTCCAACCTCCCACTCTCCCCAATATTTCTGTTCTCCTGGACTCTGTTTTCTACTTTATCTCTCCAGTTCCCATCTGGGAAATGAATTTTAAAGGCCCGCAGGGTTTCAATCCCCAGGGATCCCACGGCCAGAGGAGATGGACAACAGTTTCTGACTACTTTCCACCTGTAATTCTATGTAGTGAGCCCCATGCTCAGTGGCTTTGGAGGCTCTAAATCGTCTTCAGCTCTCAAGCTTTTATTCCAAAACCCTTCATAGCATAGGTGCGTACCCCTCAATTCCGCTCCCTCTGTGGCCACCTCTCAGCGCGTGCCTCCCTCTTTAGAGGTGTTTCCAAACTTTGCTTGAGGCCAGACATCTGTTAAAAATATAGCCTTCCAGTTGTTAATGTTTTCTGACAATTCTAGATGCCTAGAGATAGGGCCCAGCGATCTGCATTTTAACAAGTGTCCCAGGAAAATCTTACTGGCCAGAAAGTTTGAGAAACAAGACTCCAGGGTTTTCTCGATCCCCACACTTCTTCCCAGAGGGCACTTCACCGCGGGCTGGACAAGTCTGGTCAGTAACTCCGGTTCGGTGAGTTTCTCCTCCCGAGCCTTAGCGGTGCTTGGTTGCCAGGCGACCAGACAGTGCTCCGGGTTTCCCTCAAGGTACCTCTCGGAAAATCTCGCGGTGTTGCGAGCAGCTCCCTTCTCGGTGGCCTTAGGATGATTCAGCTCCTTGAGAGAGGGAGCGAGGCTGGTACATTTCTTCATCTCATAGCTTTAGAGGACCAGCAGTAGACAGTTTCTTTGTTTTTGTTTTTTAGACCTCCATTTTCCTCCTTCCTGCATCAATCTTGACCGTTTGGGTCCAATAACTATCTTGTTCCCAGTAACTGACTAGAGAAAGAATGATGTGCGTCAAGGCACAAAACATTCCAAATTTCCCTCGGACAAAACCCAGGCTCAGGGTGACATTCAAGACCATTCATCATGACCCCAGTCACCATTTGCCACTTGCTCCCTATATTTCATGATTTTCCAGTGTGCCTTGATCTAAAAAGACTTCCATTCCTTAAAATGCCGTTTCAGATAGCGGCAATAGCACAAATTTTCTTCCTTTTTTATTTTTATTTTTAAGAGAGAGGACTGAGGGTGAAGTAAGTACATCTTTTTTTTTTTTTTTTAGTCTTTCTGCATAGTCTTACCTTGTTGTGCTCTATTTTGCCTCTACCCTCCCCCCAACTGGGATCTCTTAAATTACCAACAATAGCACTTAACACTACTGTATTATCTTCAATAAGATAAATTCATTGAGGATAAGGATTATTTTTTTTACTTTTCTATTCCCAGAAACTAGAAGAATGCCTTGTATATTAAAAGTCACTTTATAATGTTTCTAAAATGAATAACAATGAAGGAAAAGAACGATAATATAAGGAAGAAAGAGTGAAAAGTGAGGGGCTTGGGGGTCGGAGAGATAGCTCAGTGGAATAAGTGCTTGCCTGGCAAGCTCAAGGTCCTGAGTTCGATCCCTAGTACAAAAAAAAAAAAAAAAAAAAATGTTGAATAGGAGCCAAGAGTAATGTTACAGAGCGGAGAGAGTGTGGAGGTTGCATCTGGCTCCTGCTCTCAGCCACTGCAGTACGTTGAGCTCCATAGAGACAGAGCCAGGACAAGTGAAAGCCAGATGGGCACTGGGTGACTCTGTACCTCACTGAGGAAAACGAGTAAACATGGGCAAAGGAGATCCTAAGAAGCCAAGAGGCAAGATGTCATCATATGCGTTCTTTGTATAAACTTGCCGAGAGGAGCACAAGAAGCAGCACCAAGATGCTTCTGTTAACTTCTCAGAATTTTCTAAGAAGTGCTCAGAGAGGTGGGAGACCATGTCTGCTAAAGAAAAAGGAAAATTTGAAGATATGGCAGAGGTGGACAAGGGTCGTTATGAAAGAGAAATGAAAATTTATGTTCCTCCTAAAGGAGAAACAAAACAGAAGTTCAAGGATCCCAATGCGCCCAAGAGGCCTTCTTCGGCTTTCTTCTTGTTCTGTTCTGAGTATCGCCCAAAAATCAAAGGAGAACATCCTGGCCTTTCCATTGGTGATGTTGTAAAGAAACCTGGAGAAATGTGGAATAGTACTGCAGCAGATGACACGCAGCCATGTGAGAAGTAGGCTGCCAAGCGGAAGGAAAAGTATGAAAAAGACATCACGGCCTTCTGGGCTAAAGGAAAACCTGATGGAGCAAAAAAGTGAGTGGTGAAGGCTGAAAAAAGCAAGAAAAAGAGGGAAGAGAAGAACATTGAGGAAGATGAGCATGAAGAGGAGGAATAAGAAGAGGATGAGGAGGATAAAGAAGAGGATGATGATGAATAAGTTGGTTCTAGTGCAGGTTTTTTTTTCTTGTCTATAAAGCATTTAACCCCCCTGTACGCAACTCACTCCTTTTGAAGAAAAAAAAAAATGACATGTAAGGCTGTGTAAGATTTGTTTTTAAACTGTACAGTGTCTTTTTTTTTTTTGGTATAGTTAACACACTACCTAATGTATCTTTAGATAGCCCTGTCCTGGTGGTATTTTCAATAGCCACTAACCTTGCCTGGTACGGTATGGGGTTGTAAATTGGCGTGGAAATTTAAAGCAGGTTCCTGTTAGTGCACAGCACAAATTAGTTATATATGGGGACAGTAGTTTTTCATCTTCAGTTGTCTCTGATGCAGCTTATATGAAATAATTGTATAATTGGTATTCAGTTCTATTAATTGAATACCACTCTGTAATTGCAAAAAAAAAAAAAATGCAACTGTTTTGTTGACATTCTGAATACTTCTAAGTAAATACAATTTTTAAATTAGTATTGTTGTCCTTTTCATACGTCTGAAACTTCTTGAAAGGAAGCTAGTCTTTTGGTTTTGCCCATTTTGAATCACATGAATTATTAGTGTTTATCTTTTCATATAGTTAGTGAATGCCCAGCTTCTGTCTACACACCCTGCATATCGTGATGGGGTAATAAAAGTCAACTTGACAAAATTTTCATCCATAAAACTCCAAAATCTCACTTATTGATAAAAAAAAATTCACATAGTAAAGTGTAATTAGTTTTGTTAATAGATAGCATGAGGTTATTAGAACCAAGCAACCTGAAAGTCTGTCCTTGAAGGACTGATAGAAAAAAATAATGTTCTGATCTTTACATGAGGACTCTTAACTCTCATTACCATGTAATGGCAGGTACATTGTGCAGTTCCCACACTAAAGGAGGCCCAAGAATATATTCCCAAAAGCGTGAGCTTAAAATATAGGACTCCAATTTTTGGTAATCATTCACAGTGAAGGCAGCGAAAGTGCTGACTGTATATGCCTTTATGCATTTATCTAACTATGGACTGCTCAGGAAACTTGACTTGTTAAAGTTTTAAAGTTAGGCTACAAATTAGAAAAGGATAGAGTTTCTATATTGGGGGCTCCCATTTGTGCAAAAGTCCAAGTAGATTGTTAGAGTTGCAAGACAGTTCAGAGGCCAGAAAATGTTCACTGCCATCTTGCAGATAAGGAAACTCAGGAGAAGGAATCTGGGTCACCCTGGGTGCCAGAGAGGGAATTTAACCTTGGTCTGGTGACCTCAAGTTCAGGCCCCTGTTCAATATAAGAGTAGCCTAACAGGAGTGGCAGAAGGGCAAAGAAACTCTAAATTAATTCAAGATACTATTGATAAAATTCATTTGTGAGGCAATCTTAGCCCAACTGGCTTGAAGACAAATGAAATAGAAATAAATTTAGGAGATACTTTGAAGCATAATTAAGAGACATTGGGGGGCTGGCCAATTAGCACACTGGTTCAGTTTAGCTTGGTGTTACAAACTGACCATCAGTTGTTAATCAACCACACCATTCAGTATTTGAGCTCATGTCTAACTTATTTCACTGAATATTATGTTCTCAAGTTGTATCCATTTGCCACATAATTGTTTATCATTTTTTATGGCAGAGTAGTACTACATTGTATGTAAATACTATTTATCTGCTGATGGACATATACACTGTTTTCAAGATCAAGCTATTATAAATTGTGCTGCTATAAACATGGGTAAGCATGTATCTCTGTATATGATCATTTTAATTCTAGGGAAATACTTTGAAGGGGCATAATCTGGATCAAAAGGAATTTTTATTTTAATTTTTGAAGAATTTCCATGCTGACTTCCACACTGGTTGTGCTAGTTTACATTTCTACCCACAGTGTAAAAGAGTTCTTTTTTCCCACAACCTCACCAGCATTCTTCATTATTTTGATGATAGCCATTCTTTGTGATGTAAGTTGGTACTTCAATGTATTTTTTTATGTATTTAATACAGGGTCTACAGGGTCTCACTATGTAGATGGGACTTGTAGTGATTCTCCTGTTTCCAGCCTCCCAAGCGCTGGGATTCCAGGTGCATGCCACCATGCCCAGTCTCAATGGCTTTCTCAGCGTTACCCAGGGGCAGGGCTAGCTCAGCATGCAAGGGATCGAACCTGGCACCTGTGCTTTGCCTAAGCAGGTGCTTTAGTGTAATGTAGTTTTAATAGCCAGCAATGTTGAACACTTGCTCATGTTTTTGTAGACTATTTGTACTTCTTAAGTGTCTATTTATTCACTTGCCTATTTTTAGATTGAATCTTTTATTTTGAGGAGTCTAATGGTTTTTGCAACTAATTTCCTTCTTTATATATTCTAGGTAGTCTATTTTTTTTTTTTTTTCTTTTTTTGTCACTTGGGATTGAACTCGGGACCTTGTGCTTGCCAGGCAGGTGCTTATGCTAGTGAGCTATATCTCTGGTCCCCTATATATTCTAGATATTAGTCCTCTGTTTGAGGAGTAGCTGGCAAACTCCCCCCCCCATTCTATAGGTTGTCTCTTCATTCTGTGAAGAAGCTTTTAATTTGATATGATTCCATTTAAGTTAACTGTGATACTATTTCTTGTGCAATTGGAGTTCTAGTCAGAAAGATCGTGCCTCCACCTGTCTTCCAAGAGTTGTAGCTATTTTATCTTCCAGTAGATTAATTATTTTTGCTTTAATATTTAAACTTTTTTTTTTTTTTTTGTACCTGGGGAGTGAACTCAGGACCTTGTGTTTGCCAGGCAGGCACCTATACCACTGAACTACATCCTGGGCCCTATTTTAATATTTAGGTCTTTGAACTATTTTCATTTTAATGTAGTACATGGTGACATATTGGTCCATCTTCTGCATGTGGATAGCCAATCTTTCCAGCACCATCCATTAGAGAGGCTGTCTTTCTTCCATTTATTTTTTGACCCCTTTGTCAGAAATCAGATAAATGTATCTAGGGGTATTTCGGCTGCTATTTTTTTTTTTTTTCCTGTCCTGGGTGTTTTGCTGAAGCTGAAATTGATCCTATGTGGGAGAGCAGGATAGGGCCTCATTGCCTAAAGCAGTCAAGCTACCTTAGTCTTGAGAAAAACATTCTGCCTGGACATTGTGGGCTATTGGTTACTAGGTAACCTTGTGTCTTGCAACTTTGTAAAAATATAATTGAAGGCTCTTCAGGAAGTTGTCAGGGCAACCATGCAGAGGGGCTACCACCTAGCCCAGTTC